CTGGAATTGAAGAAGGTGGTGGTGGAAGCGGACATGGTGCAACGGCTGTGGAGTCTGTTGAGAAGGCAGAATTTCCTGAAGGATTCCATGAAGCGAGCGGACGCTTGTCGCAATTCGTTTTATTATTTTAAGAAGGGCAGTTTGGATGAGGATATGAACTGTGATGATGTACTACTGTTTTCCCGAGTGAGAAGAATGATCAGCCAGACTAGTCGGTCACTGGCTCAGCAGATCGACGAGTCGGAAATCCGAAGGTTCGAGAGGGAACTGAAGAGGGCCGTCAATGATATCGGGCAGGACAAGGAAGGGCTGCAGACGTACTTTGCCGGGAAAAGAGTGGAGCTGGCGGAGAAGCTGAAACAAGTTCGGCAGATTCAAACGAAGCTAGACTTGTTCGTGGCCACTCTTTCTGATGAGGAGAAAACTAAAAGGGCCAAGTTGGGTTTTGCCGTATAGTCTTTAACTGTGTGATTTCTCTTATCTTCTTTGATGTAGAAAAGTGTTCTTCCCTTCTTGCGCAGTTGTTAGTTTGCTTTCTTACTCGATGGTTTTCAGTGTTAATGTTAGCAAAGTTTTATGAATTTGCCCGGTAAATTATCAAAACATTGGAATCCAAACTTCAGAAAGTGAATTTGTTCGGTCTCGGAGGAAGATTCCGAATATTTGACATCATCCACCTGCGCACAGCGAGCCCTGTATTTATTAGGGACATATGCGTATGTACGAAATATGTGCGAAATCTCAGAAATGGTTCGACTGTCAGCCTTTCTGTTATGTATAACACAGCCTTGCATAATCACTGATTACTGTAATGCGATGGAAACGCGACAGTTGGTTGACTGTCAGCTGGATTCCCATTCCAAGGAGTTGGACGCTGTTGCGGGACAGGAGTGCTGGTCAACGTCGTTGAAGTGTCCAGCATCAATCTTGTTCAGTCGAAGAACGATGTTAATCTTTTCGCTTGTTTCTTGGCTGTATCCTTCCCGGTCGCGACTGAGCAACCAGGAAGACACTGTGGCAAAACAACGTTATATATACGAACAGAGTATCATATTTTACAGTAGGTCATTTCTGGCGGTTCTTACCAAGTCGGAAGTAGCCAGCAATGTTTCGACAGGAGTGGACCTACCAAAATCTATTTTTGTCAGTCCCCTCATGGTACAGGAGGAATCGTTCGGAACTTACCACACTGTAAGTCTGGTAATCAGTATCGACGACCCACACGGAAGCGTCTCCGATGGGGAAAACAACGTGCTGCTTGGCCGGCACGGTAGGATCAGGGATAGAAGCGACGCCTTCCAGGATGTTGGTCGCGCCAGTCAACCTTTAAGAAAGAAAATTTAGTGCACGCCGAGACCCGAGATGTGGACTGCAAACTTGGAAAAAAATGCTACGTTTACCTCACGATGCTGTGGCTGATAACTTTGATATCGCCGTTCTCCAGGGGACTATAGTTGATCGCGACGCACTTCTGACCGAGCTCGAAGGCGGCAAAGTAACGTTCTTGCTCGTACTACGTGCCCATGTACTGTCAGTGTCACAGGAAAAAATCATACAGTATCACAAGAAATAAACTGGGACGTCAGCAACTGAAATGAGCAAAATCGTAGTCTCAAGTGGCGCACCTATTCATTGTGCTTGGTTCAGAGTGTACGCCACTTCGGAGAATGATCATGTTCTAGTCGTTTTCCGACGTATTGGGCGAAAATGGAAACGAAACTCCGCATAACAATTTTGAAATCGATTCCGTACCTGCTTCTGGTCAAAGTTGCTCATGGCAGTTACAGGTTGGCTTTCACACCGGCCAGTAAGAAGCACCTGACCAGTGGCTCCTTGGAAGATGCCGACCAAGGATAGTGCGCCGCATACGACCACAACCGAGTTCATTTTGGCTCTTGCATCAACGGACAACAAACCTGAAGAATTGCTATCCTGTCTACTACTCAAGGGAGCTTTCAACGAATTCACCCTAGAGAAGACTCTACTGTACGAGTACCCGTGTAGTCGGACATCTCTGAATGACTAATCGAACTCGATTTTATGCGGATGTCGTACTACCGCGCCCGGGTCATGTGGCGTGGGCTGTTGATTTTGCATCCAAGATAGATGTATCGCTGGTTTCATATTGGTATTTGACGGACTTTGGTTTTCTCCTAACCTCTAGAGTATTGAGCTATGCTTAACCTATCAGACATTTCTTTGAGGCCACCGATAGCGGTGCGTATCAATCGTGGGCGCTGAAATGACCGCATGTTCACCGAGTTGCGATTCGTTTCTTCCGGGTTTTCGTGATCGGGAAAACAATCCGGTCTTGCATTCGCAGCATTCCACACGTCGTCTGATTTGGTATCTTGATTATCCTCAGCAAAGATAGAGAAGGAGCCGAACGTTGATAATTCCCGTGTTTAATCCATAACCACCTCAACTGTCCAAAACAGAGACCTAGGCAGAGAAACCGATAAGGTAGCTTTCCCAAGTGGCGCACGCTATCAGCTAACGTCACTGGATACCTGCGCCACTTCGGGAACCAATCTTGTCGAGTTTATTTGCCGAGTTTCCGAATATCGAAGGAAACTTTGTAGCGTTTTTGACCTGAGCCACAAAATGTTATATCTTTGACTGCGACAAAAGAACCCATAAGGCTCACAGCTGCCAAATGTTATTGTATAAAAACTAAACAAAAATCTGTAAAAACCATCAAAGAAGGAATGATGTAACTCTAAAACCGGCAAGAAAGATACTCACAAACAAATACTCTCAAAATTTTATTCAAATCATCAATCGTCTGGTAATGTAAATTATCCGCATTATCCGACAGCTGATGCCAAACCGAAGGAAAAGGCACTGAAATTAAATGCAAAATTTTAACCCCTCTCTCCATGAAAGGCTTATGGTCGTCATCGATGAAGGACCCAACCGGCATGGCGTCCCTTCCAAAGTACACCCCGTCTTTGCCCCACTGCTTGATCTGGCCTAAGCTCTGCAACCTGTCTTCATTGTCCGTGAGCCTACTATACAACGGTGCAGTCGCGGGAAACAGACTCTGGAACTTAGTATCGATCGTACCGATCAAATCTAACAAGACAAGGACATCCATGCTGTTTAGCTGTGACATGGTGGAAACCCCCGGTGCGAAACTATTGCGTGTCTGGGCGAGTCTCGAAGCGAGGTGTCTCGAACCGTAGATCGAGTCCACAGCTGACCAATCTCCAAAGGCTTCTTCGCCATCGAAGAAGATTAACTGGAGTGTGATGTCTTGTTTTGTCGAACGAGAGTCGACGCGACCGCGGAGGACGCGAGCGAGGTCCAGCAGCATGGCGCACGGGACTGCCGAGTCCGTGGCGCCGATGAAGAGGCCGCGGTTATCGAACTTGGAGTCGAAGTGACAGGCCAGGAGTAAACGACGGGGAGCTTTGGGGTCAAGAGTGGCGATAATGTTGGTGAAGGTTCGACGAGCGTGAGGAGCTGGAGGAGAGTCGTCAAACGAGTCGGTCTCAACTGTGTAACCGAATCCTCTCAGCGTGTTGATCAGAAACTGCAACAATAACACAAAATATCATCGTGTGAGTGTTTGACATCAAACACATTCCACTGGCATATGTGGGGCGCCGGTAAACGATTCATACAAGATCTTCGTCTCACGTGGCGCACTGCTTCGTAACGAATGGCCGGAAGCGTGCGCTACTAATTTCAAGTGGCGCACTTGAGCATTGTTACTGGCTGGAAGCGCGCGGCGCTTATCGCTAGAGGCGCCCATGAGTTTTCTCATCAGCTGGAACAGTGCGCCACTTGAGACAACGATCTTGTGCTCTTCGTTTAGCAGTCTCCCATTACTGAATTATTTCAAATTATGACTTAGCAGGCGTACACGCAAGACGAGAAATTGTGGTACAGTAAAAATAATGGGACAGGCGGAAAGGACGGCGAAATGGAAATTCGACTGTAGGAAAGTGTCGAAAAATGTATTACTGTAAATCGGTCGCGTACGTACATGCTCCCGCACCGCCGTAGCGAAAAGGCCTGTACCATAATTTTTACTGCACCATAATTCATCGTCATGCGTGTACTTTTTGAACTTTGGTGTTTCCGGGTGTGCCCGACACACGCGGAATCAAAATTGGTTGCAAGAGCCTGAGAAACTGTTCTTTATCGGAAAGACCACTCAGAGTTCGCAACTGGTCGTCGGGAAGTGGAGCGATCTGCAGACGACTTTGTGCGGACACCCAAGCCGGAACTTGACTTCCGAGAGCTCTTTTGTTGCTGGGCCCAACCTCGATGGTCGTCTCCAGCATCTCTGGGTATGGCTGTTCCTTTTGCGACGTGGCATAGCTCAGCAACTGCAGAAGCAAGGAAAAAGTCCTATCATCATAAATCGACGTTAGGTTCATGGCTATCGGAATTCCGCAAGAGCACGCATGCAGCAAAGTAAATTAGGAGCACAGAATATTTTGAGTGTTCTGTCAGAGCCAACTTACAATGTGATCATGATGATGAAGAAGAGGCGTTTGATGGGTACGCGACACATTCGTTCTGCGACAGGTATTATAATTCAGTATCCGATGTCTCTCTCGCAACAACGCCACCCGTATTGATTGCATTAAGTTGCCCAGCGGCTGTAACTGTAAACGAATACATTTGAATGATTAACATTACAGCATGAAAACGATGTCAGGTCAGCAGAAACGTTTGGGCTACTCGTACTAGTGTGAAATTACGGCTACTCACCTGCTACTGTCGAACTTACAAGTTCACATCCTCAGCCAGCTCAGTATAGTCGTTAGAGCACCTCAGATGCAGAGGACTAACCAGAACCATCAGGGTTTGTGACGAGGAAGCTTATCTCGAGTCTTGACTCTCGAGTCTCTCGACTCACGAGCTCTAGAGGTACTGTATTATGGGAAGTTTAATTTCACGTTTTCCATTCATTTAGCCCGTCAATCAACAATCAACTGCGCTGTATCTGGTTCAGCCTCAAAGTTTACTAAGAATTTAGAATTTGCGGTAGCGTGGCCGAGTGGTTAAGGCGTTGGATTTAGGCTCCAATCCAGAAATGGGCGCGGGTTCGAATCCCGTCGCTGCCAGATTTTTGCCATCGAGACGTTCATGGTCGTCATGTATATCCCTGCTTTCCGTGTGAAATCTCGGTCAAGTCTAGGATTTTGAGTTTTCCGCACGTACGACGTAAACAGCGCCGTACCTACGCGAACCGGATTGTTCTCGGAAAATCAATGGAGCGTTCGGGCTTGCCCAATGCCCGACAAAAATTACACAATGAAAGGACTGCCAATCAACAGCTGCAAATCAGCAACCACACCCACGTGCAGGATCGCTAATGGAGGTCCACTAGACAGGGGCGATTTTCTTGCAGCGCTGGTTGCACCCAAGCGCCTGCTGACGAAATTTTCAACATGAGCTTGCGGTGCCTTGTTCTGATGAACGGTGCACGATGGCGGCGGGTACCGCATCGATTCTCAAATGATTACCTTTTTACCAAAATGATACATCGTGGCAGACCATAAAGGTATATGACGCGCCGTCCTGGTCGCCTCTGATATTTAACCTTACACAACGACGTGTTTTCAGAATTTATCGGATTCGAGTGTTTGTGAAATTTCTGGATCGTCCGCGCTGTTTTCTGACCATAGCGGCTTATCCCTTCCCTTGAATCTCTGACCAGGCTGCTATTGAAAACTGAGGAAGAGCGTGAAGGAATCGAGCCTTTCCCTGCCAAGAGAGAACGCTGAGATCCAAACGCTGATCGCCACACCGCTGGACCGACCTGCTGGGCTCATCTTGTGATGCTGCTTAGAAGTCCCATACTACAATGTCAGATAAAAGGAAGCTCCTCGGTAAGGTAGCTTAATTCACGGTTTTGATGAAGCCTTACGGCTGTGCCCAATGGTTTGTATGTCGTTGCCAGCTGAGGTTGATCGTACCCTCAAGAAAATCCAGGAGGGAATGGACGTTTTCGACGATATATGGTCCAAGGTGAGACTGAAGAATACTCGGTCGACAGGGAAGGGGTTTCTGATACAATGATATGAGAGTTTGCAGGTCCAAGAGGCACCTACCCAGAGCCACAAGGAGAAATACGAGCAAGATCTCAAGAAGGAGATCAAGAAGCTGCAGGTAAGGCTTGGCGTGGTGACTGATTGATGATTCACTGTGCTAATTTCGAAAATCGAACTCGGGCTTCGAAATAATCTTGTTTCTATTTCGCAGAGGTTGCGTGATCAAGTGAAAACATGGATAGCTAGCAGCAACGATATCAAGGACAAGGAGCCGTTGCTGAAAGCAAGAAGGGACATCGAAACAGTAAGCGTGGATTTTACAGTCGTGAGGAATATTAGAAACTAATCATAGTGTGTGCTCTTTGGTAGAAAATGGAAAAGTTCAAAGATGTCGAAAGGGAAACCAAGACAAAAGTGTATTCGAAAGTGGGACTTGCACAGGCATCCAAGATGGATGTCAACCAGAAGAAGAAATACGAAGCGCGGACAGCGTTGACGGTTGGTTTCCTAAAATATTTTTACGCTCGTGCTGAATTTATCTGCACATTGATGTCGGTCTACAGGACTTCATTGAGAAGATGAACATTGATCTGGAGCAGTTCGAAAGTGAAGTGGAAGACCTGGAAGCTGGTGCGCGGAAGAAGAAGCTCGAAAAAGACGTACGTTCGTTAAAAAAAATTGGTATAAACTCGACAAGATTGTTTTCCCAGTGGCGCACGTTTGCAGTGTTAGTCGTTCGAAGAGTGCGCCACTTGGGAAAACGGTTGTTGGATTCGTTCACTCAGGTCCCGTTTGTCGGTGGAACTGTACGCTCGGCTTGCAAAAAGAAATTTCATACTGATGTGGGTTTTAGAAACAAGAAAAGCTGGATTTTCTGAAAGCAATAACCGAGTCGCATAATTCGCACATCACTAAGCTGGAGATCATGTTACGGATGCTGGACAATGACAGCCTCGACTCGGATACCATCTTTGGTGTCACCGACGATTTCAAGTTTTACTTGGACAAGGCGGACGAAGGCCAGCTCGAGGATATCCAGTACATTTACGAAGGCATTGACTTGGAGGAAACACGTAAGACCGGTTTGACTTTTCACCACTGACACTCTCGATGACTTGCTGCTAATTTATCTGATCATCGAACTGTAGTTCTCGAATCGCCACCACAAAGTCCCGAACCGAGTGTAACATCGAAAGACTCGGATGAGATGCGGAGAAAGAAGACTGACGATCCACCTTTACTTGAACCATCACCCAACAAACCTCTCCCGAAGCTTTCGATGCCTTCGAGAAGCGAAGCCACGACACCGGCCAAGATCCCTGAACTGAAAAGTCCAGCAACGACGGACTTACGAACGACACAACCACCGAAATTCAGGCAATTTCAAGCTTCTGATTTATTGCAGTAACATACTTAATCAGTGGGTTTCTCGTCAACAGTCAATCCTTACCCAATTCAGCACCTGTACAAGCGTCACCGTTAATAGCTTACGCAGCTGCAGCTGGTAATTATTGTCCTTTCAGAAAATTATGATCAAGTCATGCTGATCATGATTGATTCGTGAATGTTTGGGCTTTGGTACTAAAATATGGCTTTTATTTTTGCAGCGAAAGCATTGCCCCAAGTAGCGGCTGTGAAACAGCCGGCTCGAATTCCCTCTCCTTCGATATCGGAAGAAATGGAGAATAAGAGGCCCGATGGAGACAAACCTCCTGCGGACTCTCTACCTGCACCAACAGCACCCGTACCGACGACAGGTGTGTCTTGTGGTTGTCTAAAAGTGAAATGGGGAATCGGCAGAGAGAGTTTTGCTTTTCTGACGAACCTGCATACACCTCTTTGCGTAGCTTACACAGTCAGCTCCATGCAGGTTCTTGACGTACAGGTCAGATGGGTACTTTACATACTTGAACACAAATGCCCGTGTATTGCTTACTTGCCTGCGTGTGCAGGGTGGTGAATTGGTATCTCTTCCTTTATGTGGACTGAATAGTTTTCTTTAGACTATTCTCTTCATGTCTTTATACCTTTAACTTGTTCAGTGCTGGAGTTTCTTTCAATGTACAGGTGCGACGATGGAAGATACTCAGAGAAGGACTTCCTCCGACTTTCAGAGGCCAGCAAAAGCCACGACTCCCGGCCTGCAGTTTCCCCTGTCAGCGTCACCAAGGCTGATGAACACGGGTTTCGGCAGTTACGCTTCGTCCATTGTCAGCAGTACACCAACGACACCTCAATCGACGCCTCAGTCAACACCCGTAAAAGATCCTTGGAAAGACGCAGGACGAAGTGCCCCGAAGTCCGTTCCCGCCATGCAGAATGGCCTTAATCGTCCATCGGATATTCCAACCCAAGCAGGCCAAGTCCCAGCGGCAGCCAGCTTACAACAACTGGCCTCGGCGGCTGTCCAGCAACAGACAGTCAGGAGCGATGAACCTGCAAGGCACTCCCTCTTCGCATCCTTTCCTGACATGGTAAATATTTGCCTACAAGATTATTTTGTTTTGGGGCTCAGCAGAAAAATTCGACAAAATAGTTTTCCCGAGTGGCGCATAATTCTCTCTGATGACGCTAAGAAAGTGCGTCACCTGGGGAAACTATCAAGTTGCACAAGAACGTTTTTCCAAGTGACGCACTCTTTCAGCCAAAACCATTCTTCAAGCGCGCCACTTGGTAGAGTAATCTGGTTTAGTTTGTTTCCCAAACTCCCATTACATTAGATGTCAATTTTTGACGTTTGCATGGATATACTCGGCCAGAGTTTGTTTACTGCTGTTTTTCCAGGCGAATAAAGATGAGAAATTGGCCACCTTCAGTGTGGGGCATTCGCGGAACGCCTCGGAAGACCTGGGAAAGGAACTGTCCGCCATGTCGCTCGCCTCCTCTAGTCCGGCTTTGTCGTTGAGGAGTTCGGGACTGGTACCGGATGGCCCGACGTTACCAGTCGCGCCACTCATCACCAAGGCGGAGCTGGAAGCGAGGATAACGCCGGGAATGGCCATGGTACCGCTCGGGCCAGAGAAGCCCACCAGAGATATGCTGATACAGCATACGCTACTCGAAACGGCGTTCCTCAACCCACCGAAACCGTGCGACTCCGAAAGGAGGAAGTGAGTACTTCTTGGCATGCTTTATGCTTAACTGGCTCGGATCTCTATACTTCTCTCTTTATCCGTAGAGCGTTTATTCCGTGTGTACAGTGTCCCATACCACCTGGTTGGCCAAGGCAGCCTCCGATGCCGCTGGCTTGCGACCTGAAGTTCTACGCAAATCTCTCGAGCGACACTCTTTTCTTTATATTTTACTATCAAGAGGTAAGAGCTTTCTTGAAATAGCGTTTAGCCTGTATTTGAGGGTCGAATTGCAAAATACGTCGATCTTTCGTCTACCTGTATACTCGCGTATCATTGGTGGAGTAGGGGTTTGTGCATGCAGGTGCACGAGGTGGGACTTTTTTTTTCTTGCCGGCCCCTTTTCTGGACGGTGTGAAACCGTACTGTATTTGCAGGGAAGTCTCGCTCAAGTTCTTGCCGCAAGAACGTTGAAAAGCAAGAACTGGAGGTTTCATAAACAGATGAACGCATGGTTCCAGCGGCTGGAAGAGCCGAAAGTGACGACGACGGAGTACGAAAGGGTGAGAACCATGGGTGCAGTTGATCTCTCTGTATGGGGTGGACGTAAAAAGTTTGGTGTGGTCTTAGGGGAACTACAAGTTTTGGGACTTGGAGTCGTGGTCGGAGAAGCAGAAGAGCGACTTTACGTTCGAATATCGCTTTTTGGAGAACGTCGATCTCAGTAGATGGGTCTACTAACAGTGGTCCTGACGGGATGGCTCTGACAGCTGCGTCTTGCTCCATTCACTCAGCACACACAGACAGACCCAGAGCTATCCCCGCTACTCAATGTTGTTTTTTAATTTCTCAATAGTAGTTTTACCACTGTACCTAAGCCCTAATCCTCATATTCATGTGTACGCAGTATGCACCACCCTTTTCCGTATTGGAAACTTGTTCGCGCGCACACGCATATACTGATTCGGCGTTCGCCATGTAATTTTTTCCCCATAATAA